ATAAAAAAAAAATAAAAAAAAAATTCTGGCACAGCCAGGATTCGATCGCGGTCGTTGGACGGTCTCAAATTGCAAAGTTGATGCTCTAACCAACTGAGCTAACAGGCCTTACGGTAATTGATTGATCTAATCGCTTATGTGTTTAACCAGAATAAAAAGCAAATATATCTTAGTTATTTTAAAATTATTTTAAAAATAATTGTTAAAGATAAATATCTAGGATCTAATTTACAATAATTTAACAATCATATTGATTTTAGTATTAATATGGACATTACATAGATCAAAATAGAAATTATGTGTTTGACATTTTCTGACAGCTACTGCGGAAAGTAGCATATTCTCACTTGGGTGGAAAGTAAATTCTTATTCATACGCGTGTGATATAGGGCACTTTCCATAGGTCTATATAGTGTGATATGTGTCACTTTCCTAAGTGGTCGTAGGAAAAATAAATCATTGTTTTTGTTCTTTATAATAAAACAACTTGTGCTTTAGATATAAATTTGAAATTGTCACACGTCAATTAGTCAATAGCCAATTTCCAAAAGTAATTATCCAATTTGTATATGTGGCAATAGACGTATCGTCCCCGAACCCTTATTAAAGGTAATCTGCAATGGATGTTTCGGCCCAAAATTAAAAGGGGCTTGTTAATCCCTAAGTACGATTCGTCCCCAAAGATAAGTTGATTCAACGATATTAAATAAATCAACATATTATAATAAAATAAAGTTTGGGGGAAATTAGACAAATTGCACAATAAATAAAATACTCAATATTTATTACAAAAAGTAATCACAAACATTACGTAAGTATATACATTTAGAAATTATTATTAAAATAATGCGAAGTTACTTTAACAAAATTTAATCGGGACATTTTACTACAATTATTGTAATCAGCTATTCTGTTTAGCTTATGCAGAATTTTAGTACTTTGTAATTTTACATATATTTCGCTATGAAATTTAATTAAAAAAATCTATAAAATAGAAAATATTCCAATGTGTGAAAAGATTTGTGAAAAGATTTACCAGCATTTGTAGTATGGGTACTAGAAGCGCTTTTTGCAGCCCATGTATGTAGTGGATATGCAGATTCTTCCGAAATATATTTATTCAGTAAAAAATGTTTCCTTATTTGGTTGAATTATAGTTAGATCAAATACAAAACCGTCCCCAACGTCTGTAGGTTTTAAAAATAATAGACCAAAGCAATATCCTAACCATTCTCCAATTTCAGTCTTATTTTTGTAGTCTGTTGTTAATCCTAATTGCTCTATTTTTCCACCAAGCCTGCGTAATATGGAAACGACAACCAATAATGGCAGCTTGAGGCCAAGATATGGCGTTATGGCGACTATATTTTTCTTTAAGAATATCTAAACATCGTTTGTTGAATATAATGTTCATTTAGTTGCAAATAAGGTGAATAATTGCGTAAAATATTTTGGACAATAATCGAAGGTGCCATCCATATAAAAAGTCTTACATTTAGATTACCATTCTAAATTCTTTTGCCAACAAAACACAATTATTTGAGAAGTTTCGTCATTACTTATTAAAACGTTTTCATTTCGATTTGGTAATATAGTACACAAATTTCTCATCGCTGAATGTACTTCTAAAGTTCTAAACACGATTTGGGTAACATTGGCACAAGTTTTCTTCTTGCATTGTACATAAGTTTTTTAATTGTTGCATAAATCTCTATTTTCTATTGCATCACTTATATTGTCACATAAAACATCCCGTATAATTTTATTTGGATTTGAACTAATATCTTCAGTAGCTTTTCGTTTAGCAGCAACTTTAATTATTTATCTCTGGTACGTCGATGAAGACATTTCGGTATGGTTGTGATCAAGAAACACAAAATATATTTGACAAATATTATTCAATATTACCCCCGTTTACATTTGAAATAATTTAAATCCTATTTCTAAAAACAAATCAAAATTGGTCCCAAACGGGAACTAGGATAAAAAATTAAATTTTTTCAATAAGGATTACATGTCATTATTGGACCGAAACGTGCACTGCCCTTGTATATACTAGGATTATATGGGGGCGTCCATTAATTACGTGAAGTGTTCAAGGGGGGGGGGATCAAGCTAAATCTTTCCAAATATCACTTGGGGGAGAGGGGGTCTTTGTAAATCTGACGTAATTTTTTTCTAGTAGAAAATGGTGTAAAATTGCGTTAAAGTAAAGTTAAATTAAAGGAAAGAATGTTTATAGAAATTTTATATTACCTACGGCAATATTCTCAAATACTAGTCTTTGCTAGTCTTAAATAAAAGTAATAGAACATATTGTGTTTTTGTTTTTTTTTTAATAATCCAACGCATTTACACCCAAAACACAAATTTTGAAAAATGTCACGTGATATAAGGGGAGGTGGGAGGAAGTTGAGGAAAATCTTATAAAATCTCACTAGTGGGGGAGGGGGGGGTCAAAAAATCCTCAAAAATACCTCACGTAATTAATGGACGCCCCCTATGTAAATACACATTAAGTTCCTACCTAGAATGTAAGAGTAATTTTGAACCAATTTTAAAATAACATTAAAAACTACATGCAAAGGTTAAATTTTAAATAATTGGAATAAAAATAATGTGATAGTAGCAATGACGTAATTTCATTAACGGTAGTGGGTATTTAGAAAAATAATAAAAGTCCAGTTTACATTTTCCTTATACAGATATAAGTATAGTCGTCAAGGCATTTGGCTGGACAATCTCAACGTTATTTATACTTTTGTGCACAGAATGTTCTTGTGATTTTACATTAATAACTTATGTGTTACCAAATATTTCATCATTTAATTAATTAAGCACTATTTCAAATTTTGTTATTTAAGCACTTAGTGTATCGGCCTGGGTATTGACCATAAATACCTCGGGACATAAGGGCTACGTTCACCATTTCAATCTTTAGATTTCTTTATAAAAAAACAAGCCGTGACTGTAAGTTAAGCAATATCATAAGACCCATAAGGGGCAGAGATTAAGTAAATAATCTCTTCCAATCTTTACTAAATACCACTCTATTTCAAGTCATTTTATGTGTTAATAATATTTTTATGTGTATTATAATTCAAAATTTAATGAATTAAGCACTTAGCGTCTCGGTCTGGGTATTGACCATAAATACTTCGGGACCTAAGACGATCAACATTTAACTTTTTTTAGATTTCTTTTTTTGTATTCTTATTATAAAAGTAAGACTTAACTGTAAGTTAAGCAGTCTCGTAAGACCTATGAAGGGCAGAGATTAAATTAACCTCTTCCAATCTGGGAGTTTCAGTAAATAACCTTATATGTATTTATTACATTTTCTTTTTTATTTTCTTTTATGATTTATATTTAATTATAAAATATTATGGTTTAATATTTTTCTTATAAATAATTTGGTCTGAACTATAAGTTAGGCAGGTAACATTAAACATTGATTTTTAGATATAGGTGCGGATATGATTATTTATATTTTTTTGATTTGATAATTTATGTAAAAGGTAGAAATTAAGATTTCACTATATATGCATACCATTTTGCGCAAACGTCCTTCGCCTGGTACCAAGAAAACGACCGAGCGTGTCATCTGCTGATGAAATAATTATTTTTTGGGTTCATACATATTACATATATAACATATACGTTTTAATTTCTTATCGTATTTAGTTGTTAGTTTATTTGGTTATAAATTCATCAAAAGCCATTAGTTAAATTATTTATAAGATTGTTGAATTTTAATAATGTATTTTTTTAAGAGTTAGTTGTAACAACCCGGACTGCCTAAAGATCATTTGTAACTACTGATAGGTCATAAGCTACTGTTGTTAATATACTATTAAGGGATTAGGGCAGCACCGTCACCAGCCAAAGGGTCCTGGAGTCCAGAAGGAACCTCCATTCACCAGTGGCAAATGAAAATAATAAAAAAAATTAAATTGAAACAACAAAAATGTATCCCTTAATAGCATAGTCGAGCGTTTCTTGGCAACTAGTATAAGACTCTTTTAGTCCTAAGGAAATAGAAACGCCGAGGCTTCTCAAATGCTCGGAAAATTTTACTGGTTTGGAAAGGGGGAGATTTATAATAAGTATTAAAACATTAACAAATGTATATTTACAATAAGTACAAAATTTGACTAATAGTCTTAAGAAAGAATCAATAAAATTACATTTAGGGAATAAAGCACTACTTGTTAATCTATCCAAACTTTAAATAAAGAATTATGACACAAGATAAACATTTCATTGAACTATACAGTTTGGACGTATTAACAATTATAAATAGTACTGCAAAACTTTAACTCCATAATAATATTAAAATATGTATAAGATAAATATGATAATTCGGGACGAAAATGTAAAATTGATATTAATATGTAAATCAATTAATTATTATCAATCAAAATACTTTAAAAAAAAGTTAAAGATATTTACCCATAATTCACAAATCGCTGCACAAAAACTTTACACATTACTTTGTTTTGAGACTTAAAGAGTCCCAAAAAACGAGAGCTTTCACCCTCGGCGAAAGTTCTGGACCTTAGTCCGTACTAGATTTTTTTTTTAACCTCTAAATTTTTATTTTCTTTTCTTCAATGAAATATGTATACCAATTTTTGAAACTAAAATTATTTCCGGTGCTAATTTTTACTCTTGATGAGGGTTTGATGGTAGCAATTCGAAACTTCTTAAAACCTTAGGGAGCGTACTCTTTATCTCCAGCATAGCACAATTTTTACCTATACAGTTCCTTGGTCCAGCACTAAACGGAACATATCTATATGGATTAGTACCATCAATTTCTAAAAAATTTTCAGGAATAAATTCCATTGGTTTTGGTTAATACTTTGCATTTCTTTGAGCCATATAAGGAATTATTAGAAGATTTTGATCTTTTGGAAATGTCGAATTTTCCCATTCAAAATCCTCATTTACTTTTCTTGTAAAAAATGGTACAGAAGGGTACAATCTTAATGTTTCCTTTATAACAAGTTCCAAATATTTAATTTTTTGAAAATCAGATGTGGTTGATCGGGCTTCTTTGTTGATCCGCCAAATATTTCAATTTGTTCTTCCAATGCTTTTTGCTGCATTCGTTGATTATTTGGTAAGGTATACATCGCAAACGAAATACCTGAAGATGTACTATCATGGCCCTCAAACATAAACGTATCTACTTCTTCTTTAATATCTTCTCTAGTTGAAGGAAAACCATCTATAGTGCTTTTCAAAAGCAAATCTAAAAAGGCCATTCTCTTTTTTGTTCCACTATCGTTTAGTTTTTTATTTTTTTCATCACAGTTTTTTATCTGTTCAATTTTTCTATCTATTACAGCATCGGTATGAGAGTGTAATAATTTAACAGCCGAGCGTTTTCTATAAAAATTCAGTGTTAAAGGATACAAACGTATATCCAATGGAGAAAAGTTTCTATCGGTAATTATGGCAAACATTTTTTTAATACTTTGTACATATTTGGAATTACCATCGGTTTGTGCGATAACAGAAGTACCCATTGCAGCTTCTGGAACTCTTACTTTTAAGTTTGTTGCTTTTCCTTTGGTCTAACATTAGATTTGTTAGTTTCTTAAGTATTATGTTTTTTTAATTGTTAACCATAATTGAGAAAATTAGTAAATTTATTATAAAGAAACATAAGTTGAGGTTTGTCTTTTATTTCTTTCCTCATTTACTGTTACATATGGGTTTTTGGGGAAATACGAACATAGCTTGGCCACTATATAGACCCAGTTGGCGCCCTTCATTTGTCTACGATTTCCGGAATTTTTAATAGCTATTATCCTCCTAGCTGCCCGAAGGTTGACACCGGAACAACCGAAACTTGTGTAACTTTAGTAGACAAAATTTTATTGATAAAGTTATTATTTTTATATTTAAATTTTAATTTTAAACAATAAAATTCCCCTCTAGAAGTTGCTAGGACTTATTCGTAGGTTACATAATCACAAAAATAAATTTAAAAACACAATATTTTTTAAAGTTTCTTGACTCAAAAACTGTTGAAAAACAAAATATTAATTATTCGAAGTTTTTACAAGAAACGGTTGAATAACCCAAAAGTACAACGTAAGCACAATACTTTCTATAGTGACAAACCAAATTATGTACTGACACCTACGTCATCAACCGCACGGAAAAGACGCAATGTAGCTACTTATGAAACTAGTCTATTCTGTAGTATACGAGTATAGTCGTTAGTTGTAGCCAACCCAACAGTTGTAAGGCGAGAACAAGAGAGAAAAACCAAAAATTTTTGCTGAATTCTGCTACAGTTAGCAACCTTGTAACCTGCAACATGTCTACTTAAATATATAATATGTCATATAGAGGGCGTATCGCTTAGCTGGAATTAGCAATAGTTTGCATTAGGTCAAAATTATACAGTTATATTTGACTGTTTAGTAGTCTAATGTAAGTAGAGTTTCTAAAGAATAGTATGTCGTGGAAATTATTGAAATTAAAAGGTGATATTACATATCAACTTTGTGTACAAAGAATAATAATTTATTTTTATTGAGAAACTAAAACTTTGACGTTACTCGTTGTTGAAGATACCTAAAGAACATTAGTAAAAAGATACTATATATTTAAATATAGTTCTTTTAAAACAGTTACGTATGTTATACCACAAGAAACAATATTAGGGCCATTTCTTTTCGTATTCTACATAAAATTTACTTTCAATTAGAAAAATTTTCAGGTTTACCGATGACACAGCCATCATATACAGTGCGTCCATAAAGTAACGCATAAATTCATTATTGGCTAAATGAACAATAAAATTAGGAATTCCCAAAACAGGTCGATTTTTGATTTCAATTTACTATTGTTTCAAATCATAATCTAATATACAGGGTGAACCACTTTCGTGTAATGACGTCATCACCATTTTTTTCAAATGGAACCCCCCCTTTTTTTTCAATTTCCAAATTGCCTTTGCTGAGCTGATTCCAAAAATGTATAATATGTTGCTTCAAATTGGTACAGGGTGGGCAAAAATGCAAAAATTTACTTACAAAGTAATGAAAATAACGAATAAACGTAATAAACACATTAAATGAAATTACGTATTGTTATTACAACTACTTTGATAAACTATCAAGAACATACAGCATTATTCTTAATAATTGTATCTTACAGCTTTTATTAGTGATCCAAGCCCCTGGACTATAAAAATCTTTTTGTTTGGAATTATCTTTTACCAGTTTTTTTTATTTGACATACCAGTTTGTTTATTACATTCAGTAACGTATTACTTTCCATAAACAATTTTCATATTTTTTTTGCATATTTGCCCACCCTGTACCAATTTGAAGCAACATATTATACATTTTTGGAATCAGCTCAGCAAAGGCAATTTGGAAATTGAAAAAAAAGGGGGGTTCCATTTGAAAAAAAATGGTGATGACGTCATTACACGAAAGTGGTTCACCCTGTATATTAGATTATGATTTGAAACAATAGTAAATTGAAATCAAAAATCGACCTGTTTTGGGAATTCCTAATTTTATTGTTCATTTAGCCAATAATGAATTTATGCGTTACTTTATGGACGCACTGTATAGGTCAAGTTAATGGAATATGGTAACAAACAAGGCTGAAACAGATTTTAAAAATATATTAATTGGTTTCAACATCAAAAACTTACAGTAAAGTTCGAAAAAACTTTCTTTGTCCCATTTACTAGCTACCAGAATAATTTACCAAAATTTTGGTGTCTGAGAGTAGATAGACCAAATTCTGAACACATAGAAATTCAGAAAAAATACTCAACTAATTATTTAGGTGTAATTATTGATTCGCATTTGCGCTGGAATATCCATATAAAAACTTTAAGAATTATGTTACATAAATTTAAATATTTAAACAATATTCTTGATCTTAAATATTTTAAGACTATATACTATAAGTTAGTAGAATCCCGCTTAAAATATAAAATAATAGCATGGGGCGGAACATCAAAAATTCATTTATAAAAACTAGATACTTTACAAAAACGCATTATAAAAATCATATATAAAAAAAAAAATAATTATTATCCATTTAATATTCTTTTCCAAGATTTAAGGTTATTTGAGGCAAGAATATTATATGCATATAGTGTATTGATATTCATTTATAAAAATAAACAAGTACTTCAGAATATTAGGCATAAATATACAAGCAGAACAAAAACTATGAAGTGTGCCAAAATTTACCAAATATACAAGAAAATTGGTCAACAGTATTACATATTTATTGCTTCAAAACTATTTAATTGGCTCCCTGAAACATATAAAATTGATCTGTATAGTATTGACTTCCCCAAACTACTTAAAGATAAACATACTCATTAGCAACAGAGAAATTATAGAAAATACTTCAATTTTATAATTATTAATAAAATCAATTAATTCACGAAATAAATACACAAAAAAATAGAATTATTAGTAATAGAACGTAACCCTGTTGGCTATAAATTGAAGTAGGTATAGTATTCAAAGTTTAAAATAAAAAAAAAAAAAAATAAAAAATATACATATAATAACCAAGTTCCCTATTTAAGTTATTATTATTATTTTGTGTTGTTTTTATTGTTGTTGTTATTGTTGTTAATATTATTATATTTATTATGTTTCAATATTTAGAAAGTGTACACAAAAAATTATAATAAATGATCTGGCTCACGCGCAACCAGTTATGGTCTTCAGTGGGCGTTCACTATCAGTTCTTTGTTCTTTTAATATTTACGTTGTACAGGTTATCTCTCATTAAAGAAAATTATATAATCATCAACTTGGAGTTCAATAAACTTTTTCAAAACTTTGTGTTCCATAATCTAATAAAGTCGTGCATAAGCGCATTTGCATTTATCCACAACATTGTTAACCTCAATTATAATTTGTAGTTGTTTTTATTTTTTGGGTTCTATTAATAAAAAAGCAATTGGCCATCTTTCAAGTGTTAATTATTTAGCTGACATTCATTTTGTATTTAGAAATTACTATAATTTATTTTTTTATACACAGGATATACCAAAAAGGATGGTTATAAATTATACCAGATGTTCTGGAGTCAAAAATATAATTATAGTCTTTGAAGTTTTAAATTGGAACAATGAAACTGTTAAACAGATTTTCATAAAAATAGGTATTCTTAAACTGAGAGAAACTTCGTTTATACAACCAGTTTACCCTTTTCAGAAAAATGACTATTAAGTAAAACATGTTTATATCGATGTCACGATACACAGACTAACGGTATGTTCCTGCGCATGCAGCTGACTGACGTTACGTGGGACATAGAATTATAAGCATTAAATGGGGGATAAAATTCGATATTTTGCCAATTTTAGATTTTATGCAGTTACTTAAGCTTTATTGGTTATTTTGTAATATATTCATTTACAAATATGAAGGTTTAATGTAAATAATAATAATAATAAAAATATAAATTTTTCTCATAAATAATAGGTATTTTGTGACAAAATCCATAACCTGGCCATAAGATAAGTAAAAGATATAGACTAAAGATACAAGTTTGACTCAAATTTGTACTTTCTGGGCGTAGTAGTTCTTTTGCAATCTCTTTTCTTATTATGTGAAAATAGATAGGGCAATTTTAATTAAGTTTGTCCTTTCTTCGATAAGAATTTACCTATATTTTGTGGCATTCGGAAATATCTCCACTGCGCAGCCCGGCATTTTAAACAATAATTTAGTTCTTCCCTGTTATATATAGGAAAATATAGTCACTACTAACACAAAAACATATAAATTATTAAATTATTTTACACTACTCAATCAAAAAGTGTCAAAATAACTTGAAAGTTCGTCCTGCATTACGTCATGCGCGGTTTGCACGAATTTTGAATCGAAAGTCAGCATACCTTTAGTATGTGTATCCTGTATTGATGTCCTATATATCCCCTAAAAGTTAGCGGTATAGTTATGAAACACACTGTACAACAGTAACCGTAAGCCACATATCTTTCGGAAAAAAAGATTAGGTACCTACCATAAACGCATTCCTGAAAAATCTCTTGAAATTATTAAAAAATAGTAAACCCGGTACGTAGACGTCCTACCACAGACCTGTATCTCGACAACAGTGCCACCTACCGGGTCAAATTATAGGTAAAAACTATCCAGGTGGCCTTATAAGCCGTTTAGGAGGAGAAGAATTACTTGGTTAATGTCGAAATAACTTCTAATTAGTTTACTTAAATAATCACATTTTTGTGCGCTGTTCAGAAATGCCTGAAACTTTTTTTTTCAGTTGTCAAAGAAATCCAAAGGAAATTGTTTAAGGGTTATAACCACACTCACGCCCTGGTATTATTTTTATTTTCTTAGGCGTGATAAAAGACTTTTCATTGAGAATTCTTTATTTTTGACTGTAGTAAAAACTCTGTATTTCGCAGAGTTTCGAACGAAAAAAATATTTTTTCCAC